CTCTGATGGGAGAGACCCGGGGTGCCCCTCTCATGGGGGAGGTGCCGGGTGCCCCTCTGATGGGAGAGACCTGGGGTGCGCCTCTGACAGGAGAGACTCGGGGTGCCCGTCTGAGGGGAGAGCCACCTGCTGCTCTGGGTTGAAGTCAAGAGTCCAGGCCTGAGCTGATCAGCAGTTGCCCATGTTTGCACTGTGCCGCTCCTCACCTTCCGTCTTAGATCTGTTGAGTTGAATTTGAGGTGACGTTGCCATCTCAGCAAGGCCAGGAGGGGAGGCTATAGACTGGGCGGCGAAAGCTCCACTGGTCCTCTCTGCCTAGTCGTGAATGGGGGTGACTGTGCTTCTGGCACTGTTGTCATTAATTCGCATTTTCAGCCTTGACTGTCCCTAGTTTGTGTGTTGGTGTCTTTTTCCAGTGCCTCACTTCTTCAGCTTAGTAGGCGGTGAATATCGCTCTAGATGATAAGTGAACCATTGTAAAGGAATGTCTTTGTGTTATTGCAATTCCAAAACCACGTGAGGAGAATGAGGTTTCAGCGTATAGTGAATGTTGTTTCTTTGAAACCCAGGAGATTTAGGAGTGTTGGTGAAGTAGGTTCCCTCTCTCAGCACTCCTGGGAGTATGGATTGACAAGGGGTTCTTTGGAAACAGCAAGAGGACCGTTAGCCAGAGTGGTGGATTGGGTCGCCTCCCAGGACTGCACAGGGCTGGGGCCATCTCCGGGCTCAGTGTACTGTTTGTATGAATCTCCTTGGGTGAGGTCGCCATGAGGACCGAGTGAGGGCTGCCTCTGGGCCAACCTGAGGTTCAGGGCTGTGGATCTGACGTGGGGGATGCCCTTGCTGGACCCGTTGTCCCCCCAGCCAGTGCTGACACCTGTCCGTGTGCATTGCAGGGCTGGCCAACGGTCCTGGGACAGCGGACGCAGATGGCCTCCAGGAAGTGCCTCTGTGTAGCTGCCGGATGGAAACCCCCAAGAGCCGAGAGATCACCACCCTGGCCAATAACCAGTGCATGGCCACCGAGAGTGTGGACCACGAGGTAAGTTCACCTTCACATCAACAGCCCAAACTGGCAGCACTTGGAAAACACCCTTTCTGCCAGTCCTCAGACAGCGAAGCCCCTTCCTCCCCCTAAGATCAGTTGGCTTATGTGACCAGGGACCTGGGTAGACACTCCCAAAACAGGGAGCAAATACCAGTTATGAAATCACCGTGGACAGGAAGCCTGTAAAGAGGATATCCTACAAACTGTGTTTGAATAAGATGGCCCTGGGGTCTCATTTCTCCTCCATGATCGTGTAAAGGCCTCCCCGCCTTGCTGTGAAGTCAGAGGTGGTTAGAGGAAGCTAGCGTGAGTTGCTGCCTAGGACCTGGTGCTGCCCGGCACAGCCCACAGTCAGTGGCCCCTCCTGCCAAGTGGATGCCCGAGCCTCTGCTCTGTGAGCTGTGGTCACTTTCTCTGCCACCCTCCCTCCACCCCAGGGTTCTCAGAGGCTTTCTTGAGCCCCCGTGGCTGTTGCGTCTAGGGAGACTCTGTCACGGCTCCTTCCGGCATCTTTTCCAGAGAAGGGAGGGAAAGTGAGGGAGGAGCTGCCATCTCTGAGCATTTCTCGAATTGTTTCTAGAGAAGCTCTTTCAGCACTTCAGGCTGCTGGGCAGTAGTGTGGTTGCCTGAAGGTGCACATCAGGGCTTGTTGGGGTGAGGCTGTGAGGGGAACTGTGCGCCCAGTCCGGCCCCTGGCCTGGCCTTTGCTGAAGTCGAGGTCATTATGCAGCTTCTTGATTGATTTATGTGGCTGCCGTTCTAGCAAGATTTCTGATCTTGGGCCTGCTGAGCCATCTGATGGACTGCGTGACAGGGTCTTAGCTGATAGTTTTAGAATTACGTGGTACTTCCATGTGAGAGGCTGAGTGCCGCACTGCCCATCCTGGCACCGCTCTGTCTGCTGGCCTGCAGTGCTGGGCCGCACTCAGTGGACCTACTCTCCCCTTCACTTGCGCCCGTGTGGACACTGGGTCTCCTGCAGCCCATGCCGCACTCTAGATGTCTGTTTCCTTGATGGATTTGTGCTGGCCCAGAATAGAGAGCCGAAGCTTGTGCTGGTTCTACCCCAACCGGTTGGGCACTCTGAGCAAGCAGTCCTCACCTCCGAGGCCAGGGGCCAGCTGTCCCTGCCTCTGAAATGCTAGTGTGGACTGCCACATGTTCTGACTCTCACACTCAGCCTCTTCACAGGCTCCCTCCACCCTTTTGTGCTTAATTTTAAAAGCTTTTCTTGATGACAAAGTAGAGAGTACAGTTGGCCTTCTAAACTGACTACTCATCTTTGAGCCGATTATGAACCAGTGTTTGCATGTGTCTCCCTCTTGCCCTTGGTTTCTGAGAAAATCCCATTTTTACACTAAAAGTCTCAGTATGTGTCTCTCCGTAGGAAAAAAGAGAACGTTTTCTTATGTAATCTCTTAATCAAGAACACTCTCCCTGCCACCCTCCTCCCTGTTTCCATGCTCTTGAAGAAACTGGGTTAACTGTAGAATGGCCGAGGTTCTGGATTTATCTATGGCTTTCTTGTGTTGTTTTCCCCTCATTTCCTGTACCTGAAAGTAGGATCTAGAGACTTGAGAAGGTTTAGATATTTAGTGTTTGATTTTACTTTTTTATTTAATTGTGGCAGGAACGCTTTAATCATGACAGGAGTGGTGCTCACATTAATGAGGGGCTTTGGTGAGACTCTTCCTCATACGGGTCGTCGTAAACCTTTCCCTGACAGTGCTAGAGTCCCTCAGTGACCACTGCCTGAGTCCATTCTTTCATCAGAAGTTGCAAAATGGTGACTTTACAATTCTGTCATTCTTTTTGTATTACTAGCTGGAATTGTTCAGTATGAAGAACCTTCCCTCGCTCTATAGGCTATTTTATGCCCCTGAAATACGTTTCATATTGCATAGGCAGTATAAGCAATTAGTTCTTTCTCTTTAATTATCATGTTCAGAGTAAGAGTTGGTGCCGTAAAACTTCCAGTGGTACCCAGTGAGTGTGATATTTGTTTTCTCTGTGCTTTTTCTCTCTTTTCTCTCCCTCCCTCCTTCCCTTTAGCATCCTTAGGAACTCATGGCCTTTGCTATATTCAGTGTGTTATTTTTTTTCTCGTAAAATGAAGCATGAGTCCAGAAAACCATACAGGACAAGTGTGTGACTGAATGAGTTAGTCTAAGGTGGTCACTCTGGTAACCACCATCAAGGTCAAGAAAGAGAACTCCACCTCCCTCCCCAGAGCCCCATCCACGTGTTTCTTCTGAGTCAGCCTCCTTCCTCTTCTACTAGTAACCACTGTTCAGACTTTGTTTTCAGGTAGTTTTACCATCTGTCTCAGTCATCTAGTGCTGCTCTAACAGAAATACCACAGGCGGATGGCTTTAACAAAGAGAAGTTTAGTCTCTCACAGTCCAGTAGGCTACAAGTCTAAATTCAGCGTCAGCTCCAGGGGGACGCTTTCTCTGTTGGCATACATGAAACAAAAGACAAAAACCACATGATCTTATCAATCGATGCAGAAAAGGCATTTGACAAAGTCCAACACCCATTCATGATAAAAACTCTCAGCAAACTAGGAATACAAGGGAAACTCCTCAGCATAATTAAGGGCATTTATACAAAGCCAACAGCTAACATCATCCTAAATGGAGAGAGTCTGAAACCATTCCCCTTGAGAACGGGAACCAGACAGGGGGATGCCCTTTATCAACACTCTTATTCAACATTGTGCTGGAGGTCCTAGCCAGAGCAGTTAGGCTAGAAAAAGAAATAAAGGGCATCCAAATTGGTAAGGAAGAAGTCTAAGTATCTCTATTTGCAGATGATATGATCTTATACATAGAAAACCCCACCGAATCCACAAGAAAACTACTGGAACTAATAGAATATTTCAGCAAAGTATCAGGATACAAGATAAACATACAAAAGTCAGTTGGATGCCTCTACACCAACAGAGAGAACTTTGAAGAGGAAATCACAAATCAATTCCATTTACAATAGTCCCCAAGAAGATAAAATACTTAGGAATAAATCTAACTAGAGATGTAAAAGAAAACGACAAGCCGCTACTGCAAGAAATCAAAAGAGACCTACATAAGTAGAAAAACATACCTTGCTCGTGGATAGGAAGACTCAACATTGTGAAAACGTCTGTTCTACCCAAAGCAATCTACAGATACAATGCAATCCCGATTTGAATTCCAAAGACATTTTTTAGTGAGTTGGAGAAACAAATCACCAACTTCATATGGAAAGGGAAGAGGTCCCAGGTAAGTAAAGCATTACTGAAGAAGAAGAACAAAGTGGAAGACCTCACACTACCTGATTTTAGAACCTGTTATACTGCTACGATAGTCAAAACCGCCCAGTACTGGTTCAACAACAGATACATAGACCAGTGGAACAGAATTGAGAATCCAGACATAAATTCCTCCACCTTTGAGCAGCTGATACTTGACAAAGGCCCAAAGTCTGTTAATTGGGGAAAAGAGTCTCTTTAACAGATGATACTGGCATAACTGGATATCCATCTGCAAAAAGTGAAACGAGCCGTAGCTCACACCACATACAAAAACTAACTCAGAATAGATCAGAGACCTAAATGCAAAATCGAAAACGATGAAGATCATGGAATTGAAAATAGGGACAACGCTTGGAGCCCTAATATATAGAATAAATAGAATACAAAACATTACTAACAGTGCACAAACACCAGAAGAGAAACTATATAACTGGGAGCACCGGAAAATCAAACACTTATGCTCATCAAAAGACTTCAAAAAAGTAAGAAGACAGCCTACAGACTGGGAAAAAAATTTTGGCTACAACAGATCTGATCAGCGTCTAATCTCCAAAATGTACAAAATACTGCAGAACCTCAACAACAAAAAGGAAAATAACTGAGTTAAAAAATGGGCAAAGGATGTGAACAGGCACTTAACCAAAGAAGACATTCAGACGGCTAACAGGTACATGAGGAAATGCTCACGATAATTAGCCATTAGAGAAACACAAATCAAAACTACAGTGAGATATCATCTCACCCCAGCAAGGCATTAATCCAAAAAACACAAAACAGTAGATGTTAGAGAGGTTGTTCAGAGACTGGAACACTTACACAGTGCTGGTTGGAATGAAACATGGTACAAATACTTTGGCAATTGATTTGGTGCTTCCTTAAAAAGCTGGAAATAGAAGTACCATACGATCCAGCAATCCCGCTCCTTGGAATATATCCTAGAGAAATAAGAGCCGTCACAAATAGATATACGCACGCCCGTGTTCATTGCAGCACTGTTCACGATAGCAAAAGAGGAAAACAACCTAGGTGCCCGTCAACGGATGAATGGATAAACAAATTAAGGTATATTCACACAGTGGAATACTACCCAACGATAAAGAACAACGATGAATCCATGAAATGTCTCATAACATGGAGGAATCTGGAAGGCATTATGCTGAGTGAAATTAGTCAATTGAAAAAGGACAGATATTGTATGAGACCACTATTATAAGAACTGAAAAACAGGTTTAAACATGGAAGAAAACATTCTTTGATGGTGATATGGGTGGGGAGGGAGAGAGAGTGGTATTCACTAACTAGATAGTAGATAAGAATTATTTTAGGAAAAGGGAAGGAAGGACAGCACACACTACAGGGGAAATCAGCACAACTGGACTAAACTGAAAGCTAAGAAGTTTCTTGAATAAAACCAAACACTTCGAGGGACAGAGTAGCAGGGGCGGGAGTCTGGGGACCATGGTTTCAGGGGACATCTAGGTCAGTTGCCATAACAAAGTTTATTAAGGAAACGTTCTGCATCCCACTTTGGTGAGTAGCATCTGGGGTCTTAAAAGCTAGCGAGCGGCCATCTAAGATACATCCGTTGGTCCCAACCCACCTGGAGCAAAGGAGAATAAAGAACACCAAAGACACAAGGAAAATATTACCCCAAGTGGCAGAAAGGGCCAGATAAACCAGAGACTGTATCATCCTGAGACCA